TTAACCCCAACCATCGAACAACAAAGAGAATTAAAATATATGAACATGGTTTTAAATGAAAACTTAAGATTTTATCCACCGGTATGTGTTATTTAGACTTTCAAATTTGTAACTTGTTCAAATTTATTTTATTTTAAATATTATAATTATTTTATAAAAGGTTCATCAATTACCACAAAGAGAAAATACAGAGATTATAAAATTTCGAAATCATACATTTGTGCCAAAAACACCCATATCAATAAATGTTTATGGAATTCATCATTCAGCAAAATATTGGAAGAATCCTGAAGAGTTTATTCCTGAAAGATTTGAGAATGAACATGATGAAAAACGCGATTTATATACTTGGTTATCTTTTGGTGGTGGTTCTAGAACGTAAGTCAAAGACTTTTTTTTGATTTTGATTATATTACTAATTTATTTGTTGTTATATTATTATTTAATAGATGTTTAGGTAATAATTTTTCACTTATTGAACAAAGAGTGATGTTGTGTACTTTATGTAAGTTATATATAAAATTTTTTTTTACAAATAAATATTGTGTGTATTTTTTTTTGGAAATTGATTATTCTCTTTCTCTATTTAGTGAGAAAATATGAGGTGTCTTTACCAGATGATAGTATTCATAAAGATCAACTACATTTTAATAAATTTAATGGTATACTTACGTTACTGCAGTCATTGCACTTAATATTTAAAAGAACAATAAAATAAATAAGGCGGTTTGCGAGAAAAGCCAGAAAAAAAAGCTTCTGAACAATGTAAGTTAAACTATTTTTTCTGAACATTTCCGCCCTTCTACTCAAAGATGTTCCTTCAATATCAAAATGTATAACATTCTTATTTTTTTGTAATATAGTTCATATTTTAATTGCTTTATCAATATCTTTTCAAGATAAAAGATCCTTCGAATATTAAATTACAAAACTCAAATTGAAATTTTATTATACAAATCTTTGGCAAAACAAAAAAAAATACAAATAATTCTTATAATGATCTTAATTTAAGATGTATAAGTTAAAATTTATGATAATATATGCTGGTTAAAATTTTCGGGGCTGACACTAATAAATCAGTTTTCTTTTTTTGATTATAATTTAATTTTTGAGATGTATAAAAAATAAAAATGGAATTGAGAAGTGTAATTGTCTCGTATTTACATGTGAAATAAGAAATATAAAATTCGGTAATTAAATGAATTCGAATTTAAAGTTAATTATTATTTTGTATCGTAAAGTTTGATTATAATACAGCATAAAGATTATAGATAATAG